CTGCGACCTGCGCCCGCCGCGCGCCGCCTTCGCCCACTGCCTGCCCGGCAGCACCAGGTGGGCTCCCCGGGGCCGCGCGTGTGCAAGTGTCCGCGTGTGTGCATGTGGGGCTGCCCCTGGTCATGTGTGCGCGCGGAGCCATGCCCTGCCCTTGCACGCGTGTGCGCAGGGCCTGGGCCGCGCACTCCCTTCTCGCACGCCCGGCGCCGGGCACCGCGCTGTCAGGCCCGCGAGAGCCAGGGCCGCTTGCAGCAGCCGTACAACCAAGACGCGTGTGTGCATGTGGGGCTGCCCCTGGTCATGTGTGCGCGCGGAGCCATGCCCTGCCCTTGCACGCGTGTGCGCAGGGCCTGGGCCGCGCACTCCCTTCTCGCACGCCCGGCGCCGGGCACCGCGCTGTCAGGCCCGCGAGAGCCAGGGCCGCTTGCAGCAGCCGTACAACCAAGACTGGGCCGGCGTCTGGCCCTCGGCAGGCGCTTGGTCGTCTCCCTGTGCCCGAATCCCTGGGCTCCTTCGCAGGGTCACCAGGGGAGGAGGCGTGCTCTGGCCTCCTGTCCCCGTAGCGCTTCTCCTCCCGAGGAAGCCCAGGTGCCTCAGATGCAGGCTTCGCTGCCTCCTGGGTCCCTCCCCGTCGCGATTTGAAGATGGAAAACAGCACCATGGAACAACTGGTGAAGTCGATTTTCCCCTGTGAAACCTCATGTCTCTGAATTTAGCGCCGAAGGTGCCCCTGCCTCGCGTTGGGCCCGTAGCATAACTCCCGTTAGGAAATGAAGAGTAACGCAGCATCCGCTCGGTTGGTTGGGCTGTGGAGTGGATTTAGGAGTGGAGAATATACATGTGGCCAGGGCGGTAGGGTTCATCTTCCCTTTTCTGTGTTTTTGGGCAGGGCTAAGACCCACGTGTGTGTGGAGCAATCGCTTATTTTCAGAAATAACACCCCATATCCTGCGGAAACCGTCACTGATTCCAGTGGACAGACTCGGCTGTTCTGTGTGCAGCTGAACGACTGTAAGTAGTCTTGCCTTGTGACACCAAATTCCTAAAATGGGCTGGGAAGGGAACACTAAGGTGCTTGACTGAAAGTGTAAGGCTGGGTGAGAGGTGCATCCGGTTACCTGGCGGCGGGAGGGCAGAGGTACGTTCTCCATACCGAGTGGAAGACAGTAGGGTCACGGGAAAGCAGGGCTGGAAGGGACGCCGTGAGCTCATCTAGCCCAGCCCCCTGCTCAAGGCCGGATCATCCCTGATCAAACCATCCCAGCGAAGCGTCTTTCTAACCTGCTCTTGAAAACTTCCGGGGATGGAGATCCTACAGCTACTCTAGGGAGCCTGTCCCAATGCTTGATCACCCTCACGCTCAACAAGTTCCTTCTAATGTGTAGCCTAAACTGTAGCCTCTGCTGCAGTTTGAGGTCATTATTCCTAGTCCTGTCCTTTACAGCCAACCTCTTCTTAATTGTCCTTGAGGTATTTGAAGGCTGTGATCCAAACCCCTTCAGTCTCTTAGCCCTAGTTCTTTCAGCCTGTCCCCATGACTCTTCCTCCCAGGCCTCTAATCAGTTTTGTCACCCCACTGGACTTTCCAAATTGTCTGCATCCTTCTTGAATTGTGGGCCCAAAACACAGGAATTCAGGGGAGGCCTTACCAGTCCTAAAATGAGCAGAATTGCCTCCCTTGGTATGTAAGAGACACTTTGGTTAATGCACTCCAGGTTGCTGTTGGTTTGGGGTTTTGTTTGGTTTTTTTTGCAACAAGAGCGTACTGTTGGCTCGTATTCAGTTTATGGTCTACTGTCACCCCAGGTCTTCTCTGCAGTGCTACAGCCTAGCCAGTCATTCCCCAGTCTGTATTTGTGCATGCAGTTGTTCTGTCCCAAGTGCAGGGCTTTGCACTTGTCCTTGTTGAATTCATTCTGATTGATTTCAGACCGTTTCTCCAGCTTATCCACGTCTACTCTCCAGTGTCTGAAACTTCACCCAGTTTGGTGTTGTCTGCAAATTTGTCAAGCATGCACTCAATCCTATCATGCAAATCATTATTGCAGATACTAAACAATACTGAGGACCCGGGGGGAGCCCGACTTGATGCTTCCTTCCATCTAGTCTTTGAACCATTACATCCTACAGTCCTTTCATTTCCTCAGTATTTCCTTAGCTCGTTAATGAGTGTGTTGTGAGAGATGGTGTCAAAAGCCCTGCTAAAGTCAAGGTAAATTCAATGACGCATTCACTGCTATCCCCCCCCTCCACAGAGCCACCTTATCCCATCTTACATCTCTCACTATCAGGCAGATTTTCTGGGCCTCTGAATATTCTTCTATCTTTTTTCTGAACATTTGCAGATTTCTTTCAACATCCTTTTTTTAACTGTGAACATTAGAACTGAGCACAGTAGTCCAGTAATGGGTTTGCTAATGCCATGTTCAAAGGTAATATCTCCTCTCTGCTACTACTTGATATTCCCCTCTTTATATATCCAAGGGTCCTGCTTTGCCCTTTTAAGTGTGACCTACATTCTTTGTACCTAGAAGTATGACCTTGGATTTGACTTTATTACAGTACCTGTTGTTCAGATGTGCCTTCTGTATTTAGCTTTCAAGATTGGTCTGTGTAAACTGATCTGTCCCCATGATTATTTATCTCCATAGCTTTGTGCCCTCTGCAAATTTTACCAGCAAAGATTTTATATTTTTCAGGTTACCGATAACAATATTGAATACTGTTGAGCCAAGAAGGGGTTCTTGTAGGATGCCAATAGAAAGCCTCTCTTTTCGGAAGACTTCCTCATTTCCAATTGCTTTGAGGTTTATCATTTAGCCAGTTTTGAACCATCTAGTAGGGGTTATGTTGATTTTTGTATAGTGTTAATGTCGGTACCTTATGGAAATCTGAAACTGTTTCAACACAGTTACATCTAGCATCCATGCTGAAAATTAAGCGAAAAAAAAAAAGGTAAGTTTGTTTGACAAGACCTATTTTCTATACACCCAGATTGATTGGCATTTAATTATCCTAACAGCCTTTACTCATTGTACCTCACCAGTGTTCCATCATGCCCAGCTCTGATGTCAGGCTAAACAACCTGTAGTTACCCAGGTCCTCCTTTTTGTCCTCTTAGACTACTTATGCAACATGTGATTTTTTTTTTTTTTTTCCCCCACTCAGTCTTCTCTAATGATTTGATGTTGGGGTTGGTTTCTTTT